GTCAGTAACCAGTGTACAGAGTCAGTAACCAGTGTACAGAGTCAGTAACCAGGGTACAGAGTCAGTAACCAGGGTACAGAGTCAGTAACCAGTGTACTAGCTCTTACCCCTCCTCCCAGACAGTACCAAAAAAGTGATGGCCAACCATCATTTTTCTCTGCTTTTTGCAAGATGCATAGTTCACCTAAGTCATTACCTTTTCAATGATCCAGTTTTTTTCTTCTATGATTTTCCCAACGTTTTAGATGTGGGAGAGCACTTCTTGTCATTCTAATTGTGCTCGTTGTGCACGGCTAACAACAAACTATTTCAGCCTTGTTTTTTTTAAAGAAATGTGTATGTTGGCACATGCACTGTGTCTTAATTGGGCTAGAGACACTTAAGATTCATTCAGAAAAAGTCTCTCTGATGTATAAACAGAGACTTTTTCTGGCTGAATCTTGCTAAACAGAAGTGTCTCTAGCCCAATTAAGACACAGTGCACGTGCCAACATACACATTGTCATCCTTTTTGTTCTTCACCTCTGACCCCTCCTCCCAGGGAGTACAGAAGAAAAGAGTGATGGCCAACCATCATTTTTCTCGGCTTTTTTGAAAGATGCATAGTGTCTCTTAACACCTCAACCCCCCCCCCCGTAAATATTGCACGCTTTCAAAAGTGATGACAAAAGTGGGATGACTCAGAAGTTATAACGTAGTATTGATCAGTACAGTTGTCGGTTATCAGTTATCGATTGAGTTATCATCTGATTTGTGTTCTACAGGTGTATATGAGGAGGAAATATGGAGGCAAGCGTCGTCGGCAGATACCAGTGTTGGAGTCCATCAACAGCGATCCATTAACAAGAGAACCGGAGGCTAAGAGAGCGAGAAAGCATGAAGCAGCAACGAGTGAGACGGAGCCAAGCAAGAAAACCAAAGACACAGCATTGATTAAGTCAAAAGGTAGGGCATCATTTTGTGTGGACCTTACTAGCAAATGTGACGTGAGAGTCATGGTGTACTATACCTGATCATACTTGAGAAACTCTTGAATTTGGAGTGAGATCTTATCGTTTTGAAATTCTTGGTGAATAGCATGTCCAGTGGCAAAAAAAAAATCTTCATTTGCCTGAATGTTGCCAATGCTGTGCTGTTTTGGTTTTGGGCTGCATCAGTATTTTGGAACTTTTTTTTGTGTTTTTTTTTTTTTTTTTGCGTTTCAACAAACTACCATGGCTCCAGTTGATGGGTTTTCATGTAATAGCCAAAGTTTCAGCCAATAGGTTTTTTGAACTTTTATTTCTTGACAGTTGCTTAAGATTTTGGCCATTTTTTAAAATCTCTATTTGCCATCAGACAAGAATGGTTACTGACAGTAAAGGATTTCCCTTCTCTTGCTGTCTGATTTCTGTGATCATGCTGAAATGCTGTTCTGGAATTTTAGCAGAGTGTTAAAAATGTTGAAGAAATACATGTGCCTTGGTAATTCTGCAGCCCTTCTTCTGACCTGGGAATAGCAACATCCTAAGGGTAGTCAACGACAGGAGAGTCTGAGAAATGCAAATGGGACTCTTTTTGTTCAATCTCGAAGAAAAGATGAGCCCACAGAATATGTCTCTCAATCGTTTTTCGAATTTCAAAGTTGTCCTTAATTAAGGTTTTTTATGTGTTAGCTCAGTCAAGCCGATATTGGAAACAAATCATGAAACAAATTATTAAATTCCTGTTCAGACTACTTTCAGTATGTGCTCGAGCTCCAGCGCCAACAATCGACATTCCTATTCAGTCATGAAATGTTACCCCAAAACCATGGCCAAATTGGCCTCTGCAGTCACTTGAAACAGGTTAAACTTTTTACACATTTCGCTTCGCATGGAATATATGGCTCTGGCTGGGAAGGATGTGAAGACATTTTAATGCAGCATTGACATTTTTTGTTTTTACATTATTGGTTTTGCCCTCACCAATCGTATATTTACGGTCTATTTATTTATATAAATACCTCATATTTACGTTTTATTTATTTGTGTTGCTTTCTTGTAGTTGATGGGAGAAAAACCTACAAGAAACGCCAAAAGCGGAAGACAGAACCCTTTGGCAGTTTTGATTCAGAGGATGACTTTCTCCTGCCATCAAGCAGAGCAGCAAGTAAACTCAAGAGTAATAACAACAATGAAGATCTAAAACCCGTCACCAGGAAGTACACCAAGCGCAATAAGGCTGAATCAGCAAAGACACCAGTCAAAGGGAGTAAAACACAACAGCCGCTGCCAAAAAACGATGAGCCCGTGACCCCCACCTCTGGAAAACGTGGGTGGCCTAAGGGGGTCAAGAGGGGCACTTCGGACAAGAGTAGGCCACTCCAGCGACGCAAGAAGAAAAAACGGCGTGGCTGGCCCTGGAAGGGCAAAAAGAGGCGAGCTCCATCAGTGCCGAGACATCCCGAATCGGATGGAAATGATGCTGATGATTCTAGCCAGTCTGACCAGGACGATGATTGCGATAGTACTGCAGCATCCTCCAGGAGCTCTGTGTCAACTGGGGAGTCACTGACGTTATACAGGCTGCCGCAGTCGTCTGAGCACTGCGAAGACGGCAACTGCACCACCGACGAAGATGACAACATTGGGGACTGTGACCAATTGAATGGCTGCGAGGAGGCGTTAAGTCCAAGTCCCTGTGAAAAACTCAGAGGGAGAGTGGCACCCAAGGAGGATAGCTTGGTTGTGAAAGTTACTCCCATTATAACACTCAGTGATTCTGATTCCGACCTTGACAAAGATTTACCCTCCAATCACGTTGGGGATAGGATCACATTGAACCATACCACCCAGCCAAGTGATCATCCTTGCATGGGTAAAGAGTCGGATTCAGATTCGGATCTGTCTGAGGAGCCGGGCAGCGAAGACCAGCTTGAAAGTAATACTGTCAATAATTTCAAAACTGAGATGCAGAAGGATCTGGAAAGTTACCACTCAGGAGACCGGAAAGTTGATTCTTTTGACAAGAATGTTGAAGAACCTGTGATCAGTGTCCTTTCCGACGAAGACAGTGACAACCAGTGTAAAGACAGTGAACCAGATAAGTTTACATTGGTGCAAAGCAATTCTGGAGATGAACAGCACAACAGTGGTGAAATGTTGGAAATCAGTGAACAGGAAAACCATGGCAGTGAGGAGGAAAATTTCACCAAGACATGTGGTGAACCCAGTGATGAAAGAGTAGTGAGAGACAGTCAAGAGTTTGACCTGACAAGCAAACACGAGCACAGTGATGTCGAGAACCTTTCAGAAGACGAAGTGTTTAAGAGCAGGGACATCATCTTAGATAAGGAAGATGCTGTCAACTGCCAAAAGCAGGATGAGGCCACACTTATGGAAACAGCAGAAGCTGTGGAATCGATCATGGATGTGAGCATGGTTCAGGATGAGGAGACAGAAGCAGTGATGCGCTCCTTTGAGCAATTTGAGGCCGAGAATCCACTTCCAGATGATGAACATCCCGAGGAAGTGGATAAATATCTTGGTCGTGCTCAGGACGAGGAGCAGACATTAGCCGAGCACGAAGAGTCTCTTGTGGAGAAAGAACTGCGCCCCGTGGAAGAGAAACAACTTGCAGTTGAAGGACAAGCCGTACAGCAGTGCAACGAGGAGGATCGTGCAGAAAACTCACATTCAAGGATATCTGCTGATAATTCCTTACCGCACGATTCTCCTGAACCAGCCTCTGTATTTGCAAATCTACGGTCACAAGATTCCATTGAGCCCCTTGCTGTGCAGGATCACAGAGATGATGGTTCCTCTGAAGCTCAGAAACCTACAGTTTCAGATTCTGTTGGGGAGCAAGATAGCATCAACAGTCAGGAAACTCTGATGCCGCCAACAGAGCAAAATGTCGCTGGAAGTCAGGAAACCCACACAATGACACAAGAATCCAGTGAAATATTGAGTATGGCAGCTAGGAGTAACGAAACCAATTTGAGCAGTGAGCCATCTTATGGTGGCATGCCACTTGAGACAGACTGTTCAGCACGTGGACCATCCACCATGCAGGATAATCTTCAAAGTGATGCTGTCATGTCAAGACAGTTGTCCTGCGAGCCGATGGAACCCCTTCAGCATGAGCTACCCTCATGCAGACTGGTTCAGATGCCATACCGCAATTCGTGCATGCAAATTGCAGAGATACCTTGTGAACTAGAACAGAATGAGATGATTGGTGGCAGCGGTGGGATGGGCAACCAGGTCATGGCAGCACCTAACATGGGTGCTTCACAGATGGCCGGTCAGCCCGGTCTGAATCAGCAGCCTGTGTGCAGTCCGGGCATGAGCAGCAATAGCTCCCAAGTCTGCAGCCCCGGCATAGTCAGTCAACAGCAGCAGCAAGTCTGCAGTCCAAATATGATAGCCAGCCCTCAGCAGCAGATGCAGCCCAACATGAGCCCGCAGATGCCCAGCCCGCATCAGGTCAACAGCATGAATAGCCCACAGATGAACGTCAGTCCGCAGATGTCATCGGTTAGCCCACATCCCGTGGGCAACATGAACAGTCCACAGATGAACAGCATGCAAAGTCCGACAGTGTGTAGTCCTGCTGTCAACAGTGCTCAGGTTCTCAGCCCAGCCATGGGTAACGTTCAGGCATGCAGTACCAGCATCACCAACACACAGGTGCGTAGTCCTGTGTTGAATAACCCCTCCCGAAGCCCAGCAGTTAATAATGTGCAGGTGTGTAGCCCAGCTATGAGCAATGCTGTTTGCAGCCCGGCTATGAGTAACTCAGTATGCAGCCCAGTAATGGCACCCAGTAATAGTGTTTGCAGCCCTGGTATGACCAACACCCAGGTGTGTAGCCCCAACATGGCTAATTCACAGAGTGTGCGCAGCAGCCCACAGCTGAACGGTGTTCCCATCAACAATCAAGCCTGCAGTCCTCAGATGGGCAGTCCACAGGTGTGCTCACCGGGAATGAATGCACAGCAAGTGCCGTGCATGCAGGGCAATGTGGTCAATTCACCCACACACCGCAACAGCAGCAAATCCAACATCAGGTACGGTGCTGGTCAAGCGCCACAGCGACGGAAGGCCACCAGTTGCAACATAGCCAAGCTGCAGCAGATGACCAATGACATAATGACCAATACATCCATAGCAGTACCAAGGTCCCCTAAACCAACGGCCAATCTCACCCCACCCCAGAATGCTACACCTCCGTTAATACCCACAACCACTCCACCACCCCCTCTGCTTAAGAGGAAGCGGACACCTCCGACTGCAAACACGCCACCCACGCCAGCGAGAGTGGCTACCGAGATGCAGCCTCCTCAAGTGGCAGTGTGGCCCCGGATGCAGCAGCCGCATCAGCAGCTTCAACAGCAACAGCAGCAGCAACAGCAGCAGCAGCAGCAGATGCAGTTGCAGCAGATGAGCAATCAGATGGGGGAGCCGATGGGTGGACACAGAGGTGTGCCGGTGGACAGTCAGATGCAGCATCCGATTCAGATCCAGCGGTTTGCCTACCCCCATCACCAGCAGCAGTATGCGCAACAGTACCATCACCACCACCAACAACAGCAGCAGCCGCACCACCAGCAGCAGCTGCACCAACTACAGCATCAGCAGCATCCACAGATGTCTAACCAGAACATGCCCAGTCACCCTGCTCGTCTCGCCACCCCTCCAGCCCACAACAGCCCGGCGACCCAGCACTGCAACATGCAGCAGCACGTCGTCTGCAAGAACACTTACCCAGCCACCCACCAGAACCCTCCCCTACGGCAACAGCAACAACAGCAGCCCCCAACCCAACACCATAACTACAATTACATTCAAGGCTACCCCTCGCAACCGGGAACACTAAACGGTTACGTGGGACATTCACAGCCAGTCATGCACAATGCCTACCACAATGCAGGGCCGGGGTTCATGGAGCCACCTGTTCATCACATGGTCAACATGGGACCACCCCAACACACACTCAGGGCAAACCACTATGAAAATGAGATGTACCGATATGGCATGGGCAGCCATGGTCAAGCAATGATGAGACGATAGCACCGAAAAGGTAAAAAGAAAAAACAATGAGTTGATGCATTCATTCAGTTCAACAAAAAGGCAAATTATTCAATTCGGTCAGGGGGGATGTGGAAACCATAGAAAAATTGCAACTTAATGTAAGATTCATCATAACAAACAAAAGGGCTTATACCCCAAAAAGCAACAACCTAACATACAGTTGAATGGATTTTGTACTATGTTATATTTTGACAGTGTTTGGCAATATTAGTGTTGATAATTGTGTCTTTGTTAAAGGAAGACAAAAACTTTGATTGATGTAAGGTAAAGCCAGGGTTTCCCTCTGTGTAATATAGTCTGTTCTCCGTATGTCTTTTCTGTCTGTCGACCAAAAAAATTGATACAGAATAAATGATAAACTTGATAGTTATCGTACTTGAGTGGCGGAAGTTCATCCCCTGATATTTTAGTGTCAGCAAATGAGGATTTAAAGTTGTTGGTTACAGGGTTGATAAGACAAAAAAAATGGTCGTGGGTTTCTTCATAAAAATCCAAGTGATACAAAGGCAATTAGGAATGGGGATCTGTAGTGTTTTGTTGTGGGTTCCTGAGGCGAAGCAAGTAGGCTTGTTTGTGTTTCCAAGATGGCATAGCACATGTTCCTGTGACCCATGTCAAAGGTCAGCTACTGGCTACCTTATTTCACTTTTTATGAAGAGGTCATTTTCCACGCAGAACAAGTTTCCAGTGCCCTGGTGTTGTACCAACAACCAAAGTTGATATTCATTTTTGAAGGACTTTCTTCTGCTGCACAGAGGCAAGTTCAAACTAATCTCATGAAAACTGCTCGTCCTGCTGAAAGATATGAATTAACACAAACAAGGTTTGGCCCAACTTGAATTTCTTAAAAGGAGTTAAATGCAAACACTGCTATTTACCTTTGATAAATATCACTTTATTTCTTGGCCATCATTGAAATGTCTCTTTGTACGTGAGTGGGTGCGTCAAGAACAGCTGTGATACATCACTGCAGTTTTCTCAAAGAATTCATGTGTTTGGAATTAATCTTGTATTATAATAGACGTTAAAAGATATATATAATATATATAATAATAACTATATATTTATTGTACAAAAATTGTGTTAATTTCAATTTTTGAGGTAGGAAGAAATTTTGTGTACTCTACTTTCTACAGCAACGTTGATCAGGACTTTTTGTGTACGTCAGTTTATGGTTAAATATTAAGGCGTGTACATAATGCTTTATTTTGTGGCTAGATACATAGTCTGTATATTAAAGAGACAACTTCAGGTGTATTTTCTCAGAGAGATACGGTAGTCAAACTTTCCTTCCGGAGACAAATGTATTTATTACTTTGCAGCTCTTTTAAAGAGAACCAAAAAAAAATTCAACTAGTCTGAGGACTTAAGTGGTATTCAAGATGATATTTTGCATTTAGATTGGATTGATTGATTCCTTTTTACATGGTTGATTAAGATTATAGTTGAATTTTGAAGCTATGTGTGCTTTGATTTCTTTCCTAGGCCAAGAAACCAGTTGTCCAATGGCACAATAATTGGGTGGCTCATTGCATGTACATATTTACATAATTATTATCTATTAAAATCTGTGCATTGTATAAATAGTTGCAAGAGGTCACATGATGAATACCACTTAACCTGTTGCATCGGTTTCTTGGAAAAGTACATTTGAAATATAGATCACCGAGGCCTTAGTACATGACAAGGATTGTCATAGCTACCAGTAGAATCCTGAAGTCAGAAATCTGGAAAAAAGTGTTGTTAAAGTGATTATTTTTGGGAATCTGATATTTTGAAATCCAAGTCTTGTTTTGATTGTTTTAGAAGAGTCCACAAAATTTCTCCAGTGAATTGCATGCTTGTGTACGTTTGATCTAGTTTGTGGTTACACTTGTTTGATTTCTGTTGATTTGTGAGTTTTTTACCTTGTACTATTGAGGATCGTCTTGTTTAGGGCAGTCAGGTGTTTGGATGTTGTTGTGACCGGTCCCCTCTTCTCCACATCTATGAATAGCCATCATACAAACTTTGTGTAGTTGACTGGGATTTGGATTATACTTGGTGATGTTTCAGTATCACTAGCTTAATATTGATCAAAACACTTCCTTGAAAGAAACGGTAAGGGAAATTTTAAAAAAAAAGCTTTCAACAAAAGGAAGGACAACATCAAAGAAAAACAGTTTATAGTTATTGGTCTTAAAATGCTTGGAGCAGCCAACATCTTTGGGTTTAACTGGGTTAAAGGGATGCCAAGAATTCAGAAAGAATGGATAGAAAAGAACACAGATTGAGCATCTGAAAACATGAAATCCTGGACAAGTTTCAAGGTAAACAAAGCTGAAATAATACACTGTAGTGATGTATGATGAATTCCAGTCAAGCACACTGGCTCCAATGTAAATGGCTATTGTATATGCTTTAGAACTTAGAACTAAGCCTTCAAGCACGATATTTTCTTTCGTACCACTTGCCACCCAATTTAAATTAAAAGCATTTAAAAGAGTTGGTTTTTCCCTTTGCACAATTGACCCATTGCTTCATTTTTAGTGATTAGTAAGATGTACATGTATTTGTTTTTGAACTTTTTGATTTGTTGATTATAATTAGTCAAATCACGTTTTTAGTTAAACCTTACGTCCACTGGCTTGTGCATTTTAAAATCCAACCCCGCCAAGGCTTGTTAATTTAGATTTCAATTAGTCATTTGATTTTCAAGTATCACTTGCTTTGCTTTGTGAGTTACTCGATAAGTCTTTTACACGCTCAAATTTGTTTGTTACATTATGTCATCAAGTTATACACATAGATGACATGATGATGTGAGATGTCCCCCCCCCCAAGAGAAACCTCCTACCGCCATGGTTTGAATGAAAATGTACTGAGAGATTTATCTCACTTTTTATAATGTGGTGATTTTTTTAAGTTATTGAAAGTAAGTTTTAGTGTTCTCCAATTGGTTTTAGTAATATGGTTATTATATGGGGTTGTTTGAGAGTTTCAGTTTGTATAATGTACTACACTTGATGTTCATAATTCTTTGCACTCCCCTCCTCCCATCAGACACACGTAGGTTCCCTTGTGTTTGTAAATGCCTGTACTTACTGCGTGGCTTTAATTGGGCACTTTTTGTTTCGTCTCACACTTATTTCCTGTATATATGATGAATTAAATTAAACTTTGAGACTACATGAATAACTGTTGTAAAAATGGTAGCTTTCTGTATTCCATTTTTAACCGAGCTGATGGAAGTTTGCACAACGGGTGTCCAGAGCTATGGTTAACATCTTTACCAGCATGCGTTCATGTATTTGCAATCCACAAAGACCAAGGCCCCTACATGGCACAGACACAAGATTCACACATAGCCTTCTGGAATGAGAGATATCAATTATGAACTAATTCATCTGTCACTCTGACTTTGTCTCTGATATTGAAACAGCCAAGAATCCAGGCTTGTGTCTGCAAACAATTTTGTCATTGAATATGCTAAACGGTGGCAAAACCAGATGGAGGGAGACTGCTGTAGACACTGTTTTCTAGACCCCTACCTCCCCTCATTTTTTTTCCACCGAGGGCAAGACCAAAACTGCCCTATCAAGGGTGGATGGGGGCCAACATGGGCCATGGATGGCCCTTCTCCCCCCAAAAGGAGCAATTTTTGTTTTAAGATTTTTTGGGGTCTATTTTTCTTCCAAAAATGTGTTCAGAGTGGTTAAATGTTGCCTCTCTCAGAAAAGCCATAAAATTAACATTTTTTGGCCCCCTTTCAATATTGGTTCTGGATGTGCCCTTGTGTCCTGTAGCACAGGCCTGTCCTATTGTGCATCCTGGAGGTCCATGCCCCCAAGGCCCACCATTCGAAATTTTAAAATGTACCAATCATAACGAGCATTGTTTGTCAGCCTCAGGGCCCCCTCCTATTGCCTGTTAGTTGGTTTTCATGCCTTTAGTTCTTCACAATTGTTCAAACTTACAAAGGTAGGTGCTTTGGAATTTTTTTAAATACAAACCTTCAAAATGCACCTTTACATCGCAATTAACCTCATTTTCAATTTGTTGCACTTTTTTCAGTTGGGATTTACGTCTTTTTTTGGCTTTTGTACTGATAATTTCTATATTCATGGCAAACCTGTGATGTCATCCCCAGAAGGAAGCCTCAATGTTACATTGGTTTGTACATAAAACATGCATTTTTACGAAATCACAATGAAATTAACCACTCGCAATAGCGCGCGCCCTCTCCAGCTTTCTCTTGGCAAAAAGTTTGGTCAGTAAACTAGCTTCGAGCGCATGCGCAGCTGACCCACGCACGCAGCTAGCTAGCCAGCTAGCTAGAGCGCGGTACCGCTAGACTATAGGCCGGCTGCGCCGGCTAGCTGCCGCGGGTAAACAGCATCATTTATAAACGGACTGCGCACACGAGAGGGAATGCGCGTGGAAATTGCTGGCCCGCTTGCAGAAGTTAAATTTGACGTTTCTCAAAATTTCTTGACAGATTTTTTTCCTCCACTACACCTTGAATATTCCAACATAGGAGGTAAGTGTCTGTATTTTTCTTTCACTTATGTTTGTGTGTGTATCGCTCACAGTCGAGATTAAAGAGTAACATTACTGGACGTGTTTTTGCTTTCTGACGGCTGACTTTTCTCTGTAGCTGAGGCTGAAATTTGCTAGGCCTACTAAAAGTCTGTAACAGGGCTCATTGTGTCCTTGCTCTATGGTGTAATGACCAGCCCCATACTTTAGTCGGAGGGATTTGGCCCTGGATGCAGTCCATGGTTGGATACATTTGCCGCTTCAATAAAAAAAATTGGAGGAAGGATTTTTACTTTAGTACCGAGGGTATCAAGATCAGTTTTGCGCCGCAAAACCTTCAAATAAAGTATCCAGCATGTCCAGTCCTAGCCTAAAGTTCAAATTTGCATAAGCCTTTCTGCTAATACTGCAAGAGTGATTGCACAATAGTACAAAGGCATCGTTGGAAGGAAAAAGGGGCAAACCTTGCCCTTTTCCTTTCCCACAATGCCTTTCCACAGTTGTGCAAAATCAGCCGTGCTGTATTAGCCTAGTTAGCAATAAGGCTTATGAATGCTTGGCACAATCTTCAATTTTATGACTGAATTTTCTGTGTTCAGGTGTTCTTGGTACTGTATGATGACTCAAAATGATGATAGGCAGGCCTACTAGTACTTTCTGCCCAATTTTTCACTAGTTTTACTGAAATAAATCAGGAAATGACATTGTACCCAGCATTTATATAACTCTGAACACAGCTGATAAGTTATTTTCAACGATTTTGGTGTTCCCGACCAATTCTGGTGGGACAATTTCAAAGTAAAATCTTTCCAATTTGGAGAGTAACAGGTGTGGAATGTTTTTAAAAACTGAATGGGCAATTTTGACACAGTAGGCTGCAAGCTTGAAGGCCTGTTACCATTATGTTTACCAAAGCCTGCAGTGAACATTGGATCGTGACCTGATCTCGAATGTGGTTTTGCTTTTGCACCAGGCGTTGTAATGTAGGCCTAACTGAACATATGCAGTGAGCATCTCTCATTATATTGCGGCTTTTTGGGTAGGACCCCCCATGTGGTTATGGCCCGAGGATTCAATCCAGCATCATCGCATTAGGAGCTGCATGCAGTTACTATTAGGCTAGCACTCGTTCATCTAGGAAAGAGTCCCATACGTGGACATCACTTGATAATGCTGTGCAAAAACCCTCTGAGACTGGTTTGAAAAATTGTAAGTATTTTCTAAGTTAATGCTTCCATACTTTCCCGGCTAAAGTTGACTTGTCATGACACAATATTGCTTTCTGATGGCTGATAAACCGCTGCAGAGGAAAATTAATTACATTTCCTTAGTCTACAGGTCTGTCCTCACTAATGCATACATTTGCACACAACCAAATTATCTCTCTTAAGTTGAGAGTCAAGAAATTATCGAAGTTAACACTTAATTGAAGAGATGTATAGGCCCTAGTTTACACAGTTTAATAGGATTGGCTTGTTAGTTGTTAAAATAATCACTTTTGATGAAACTGTCCAGCTTACTTGTATGTTAGGGGCTCTGGTGGGACTAGCACATAACTATGTCAACTCATGTTTTTAAGATTATCCACGGTAAAATACCACTGTCATGGAGAAAACCAATTAATCTGTTACAACATGGGTACTACAGGAATAACATTGAAGAAATGTGTCAAAATCTAGGGCTTGTTATTAGTTCAAGTTATATTAAGCAGGAATTTAAAGAAAGCTACATGTAATTCACGATTAACATATGTCACGGTGTCTGTCCACAGAGTAACAAACATGAAACAGGCTGACTTTGCCATTCCTTAAGCAGATAACTTCAAAAATCTATAGAAATCTTCCTGAGAAAAGTTTCAAAATTAATACTTTAAATCATATTTGTTTTTTTTTCTATCAGAACCAAAACTAAGACTCAATTTTAGGAATTTCAGATGTCTGTACCCTCTTTTGTAGAGTTTATCACAAGTATTTTTTTCCTTCTAAATGTAAAAATCTTAAAAGACTTATCTTCTGAGTGCATACTTATTACAAAACCAAATGAAATAATATAATAAACAATCCATTGGAAAAAGTTGGTTCATTCTGTTGAAAAGTGAGAAGACTGTCTGTCCCAGGTTGTGATATGTGACAAACATTAAATCTGTCCATGTATAAACAAACGTAACTCATTGTTTGAGAAAACTTACATAGTGTTCATTAAGCTGAAGTTTAACAGTCTTTTCAATAAATATGATTTTGAAAACTGAAAACAAACAAGTTTGGCGTGTGATCTATTCTGATTTTATTCTCTAATTTAAACACCAAAAAATGTCTGTCCATGAGACACATGTTATTACTGTCCATGTGACAAACGTGATGTCTGTCAACTTTACCTTGTATTCTTGAAATACATTTCAGTGTCATACACACTGGAATTGTTTGTCTGAGATTATAAAAGTTTCTAAAAGTAAACTAAAAAAAAAAGGTATTAAATACGTTGCAGTTAATTACTTGCATCAATCATATTTTGAATTTACATTGGAATTTTTATATTTAAGAAACAAAGTGTCTGTCCATAAGTCACAAACATTATATCTTCAAGAATAAGTTTCCATAACTTCTTACATACTGCTCAAGTTATCTTCACATTCCTCTGGTAACGTTCAGAAACAATGAAGATATGGCAAAATTGTTAGGTAGGAAATTTGCCATTGAGTGTCACACAGGTGTATCTTTTAGTGTGAACAGACCTCACATGCACACCTACAATTATATGGAACTGTTTTCAGTGCATGGCCTTCTTGGAAAATTTTGTTGGGGGGGGTTGCAAATCTGATAACCATAAACTAACCCTCCTCAATCCTCCAAAATCCTCCGGGTGGTTTTGGAGGATTTTGGAAGATTCGGGATGAATGATAATTTGAACATTGGAGGATTTTGGAGGACTGATGCTAAATGGTATGTAGTGTACTGGAGAATTTTGGAGGATTGAGGCTGAATGGTAATTTTTTGGACAAGGATTTTGGAGGATTGAGGCTGAATGGTAATTTTTTGGACAAGGATTTTGGAGGATTGAGGCTGAATGGTAATTTTTTGGACAAGGATTTTGGAGGATTGAGGCTGGATGGTGATTTTTTGGACAAGGATTTTGGAGGATTGAGGCTGAATGGTGATTTTTTGGACAAGGATTTTGGAGGATTGAGGCTGAATGGTGATTTTTTGGACAAGGATTTTGGAGGATTGAGGCTGAATGGTGATTTTTTGGACAAGGATTTTGGAGGATTGAGGCTGAATGGTAATTTTTTGGACAAGGATTTTGGAGGATTGAGGCTGAATGGTAATTTCTTTTTAAAAGGCTTGTGGAGAATTGAGGCTGAAAGATGATTATGGAGGACTGCTGGGAGATGTGCAATGTATGATTTCAAATGATTTGTATGGCCTGTTAAGATATATTTTATCATGGAGGAAGTTTGATTTTATCAAATAATACATGTACTGTACACGTACATGTGCGTCGGTGTGGGTATGCAGACAATCCCTCCTCCATGAGTATACCATTGCAGGTTGTTTGACTTTACATGGTATGCACAGTTCCTTCACACTGTACCATACATGTACTTCCGTTGTTAAACACTAGTGTGCACTCCCCAACTTGCTTGTCCTTGAACTTACCCCAAGGGTATATTTACTGTTTACACAGCAAAGCCAGTGGAAGGTGCAGTACCACTTACACTGAGGTAAGTATCACGTGGAATTTATACCTTTCTTTTGTAAATTGCAGTATTACAAAGACTTCTTATTCAGTTTCTTAGCACCTAAATGGAAAAGTCAACTGGATTTGTCAGCAGTGATTTTTCAATAAGTTTGGGCGAATATTGGCACTGACCCAAGTTCCTGTTTGAAAATCCCTTAAACTATGGAGGTATTTCTACCTCCATGCTTTAAACCGACCCCTTTCCCTTTGTCCTATCTCACCCTTCCCTCCCATAAAGGCAGTGATTACAGTCCACTGAATGTAACTGAGAAACACCTTGTCAGTTCAGAAAGTATCAGCCTCCCCCCCCTTCCCCAGCAGGCTGATTTTTGTCGTTTTTTTTTTTTCAATTGGAGGATTTTGGAGGATTGAGGCCGTGAGCAACTCTTAATTTGTACCGGTACAGTACAAAATATCGGAGGATTGTGGAGGATTGAGGCTGAATGCAATATTTTAATGTCGGAAATCTGAGGATTTTGGAGGATTGAGGATGGTCCCCAGTAAAAAGGCCTAGGAGAGGGCCAGCAGTGTGAATGAGACAAGGTGCTGTGAACAGCAGTACTGGTTTGTGACTCTGTATGAGTGAGTCGGTCGTGTGACAATTTCCTATACATGTGTGAATCGTGTCTCAAAATTGGTGGTGTAAGAATGTACGCATATTTGCTGGGTAAACATTGGTCAGGTTATGGACCATAGCAAAAAGCAATTTGCCACGGAGGTACTCAGAGTTCACCGTACCTGTCTGCTGGCTGTTGCTTGCAGCTGTACTCATGTGGGCGTGATCGTTGGAAAGTTTTCCCAGGGTAGGGCAGGCCCAAACTGATGAGTTTATGCCCATTTCTTTCCTTTTTCTCTCGGTTTTTCTTCTCTTTTTTTTCTTTTTGTTTTCATTTTTAGGGGAGTCGGAGTGCCTCTCTCTTGCCCCTCCCTTCCCCAACCTATCCCTGACAACACCTCTGGCTGTGCTCATACTGCTCAATATTTCATTAAATCCTGAATGTAGTCGGTAATGATACTGTTGCTCCGCGGGACTGGTGAAATTAAATTTAACATCTTTGCTTTCAAAAAAGAAATTGTAAAATCACAGCTGGTGCATTAAGTGCCACGCGCTGCTCCCCACTGCTTAGTACTCGCCCTGACAAAAGCCAGCTTCAGTACACGTACCGGTGAATGTGTACATTTATTGAATTGGCACAAGCTCTTTTCAAACAGTTTTTCAACGGTCTCGACACCAGTGTGTGTGTGTGTGTGATACAATTCATGAGAATGTTTCATTGCACGTGGGGGACCTCTGATGGATGGTATCTGGTTCGTTTTTTTTTTTTATTTGAAAGCAGCAGCTGCTTTAGAAGCCCTAAAATTTCCTTTGAACAGCACTTGTGGAAGGTCTTTGTGATGTACATGCGAATGTTCAGTGCATGCGTCACTGAAATTTGATAAGGAAAGGAAGATGTTTGCATCAGTGGCAAATGCTGCGGTAGAAAAGCTGGAGTCATATTAAAAAAAATTAAGCAAATTTCTGACTTCAGGGAATTTGTGAAGTTTTTGTATCAAGGATAGTAATCAAACAGATTACTTCTATAGATTTTCACCGGAGTTTGTTTAGCTCCCATTATGGGGCCTTCATCCTTGAGCATCAAGACAGAAATGAAAAAAGTCCTTGTTCGACTTTTGCTGTTTGTACAGAATTATCTCGTCAATTTTGTCAGTCTGTCAGTCCAGCATGTCAACCCAGCATGTCAACCATCACTGACGTTTGTACAGGAGTTGATGGTTACCCATACAGGGTGATTCACATCAGTGTAAATTTTAAATTCATATGTACATGTGTGCATACCGGTGTGTCATCACAACATTGTACATACTTGTCCTCAGGAAATTGCAACGCACACATGTAGCGGTACAAATAGATTTGTTACTCAATGTTCAGGTCATGCCCTGTGATATTTCAAATTTTGAAGTCTTCCTTTCTGTATAATTCAATTCTGCATTTTAAAAAGTCTGTTAAATGCTACCGGGCTTATAATTTCCTTTGGGTCCATATTTTCCAATTGATCTGAAATTGCTCAGCTCTGATGTACACAATGCACACGTATTGTAATTGCTCAGAGCAGCTTTGGCGGGAGGCACATTATCAAAGGGAAACAGGGAGCACCACCTGCGCTCTGTATTGATAATTGGGAGGAAGCATTTGTTGTGGAAGCTGATCGCTTTCCTGCATGCACTGGTACAGACAGAGTGGGAAGTACAGTTAGTGTGAAGATATAAATGATGTTGCTAACATTGATCCATTGGTCAGCTCAGATCTGGGCAATGTCAGGATCAGTGAACACTCTTGTGTCAGACTTCCTCGTGAAGCAACCTTTTCATTTTTCTTCATCGCCTTAATTTCAGGCTCACTTGATGACTGATCATGATACAGTAACTCTCTGGACAAGTTTGACTTGACATGCATGTGCTATAGAGATATCGGTGCTTATGAAAAAAACAAGAATGTATAAATTTAAAATGCATTTAAAAGCGATTGAATTACAATCTGTTTCATTCATAAGCGCCTTAGAACTTAAAAGGTATTTTATTGCACTTTTGGTTACTCTGCTTTACCTTGATGCAAGGTGCATTGTAACTTGAGTTGATTTATGCAGCACTCCAAAGATAAGGAAGAGGGAAAGAACTTGTACAGAAAGGAAGAATTCCGTACATGTTCATGTACATCGTTAGGTTTTCTCTGCAGCAGCATATCAGAAAGTGATGGCATGTCCTAAAAAAGATTTTTCAAGGAAGATTCTGAAGCAGTTACATGTACTTCAAAAAACAATGAAAATTTGTCCGACCAGTCTCATTGGGTGTGTATCAAGTCATGAATTTTGCAGCTGGCCTCACCGTTCCAACCTGTTGCCACCTTGCGCCCATTGTAAAATGTTAATGAAGTTGAGCTAACGAAAGAGCCGACAATTAAGTACCGTCCATATAGCCATGCTGCAAACAGTGCATTCAGAAGGCCCCTCTTTTGGTTGATCAAACTGTGAAGGCCATTTCTGTGGCTAATTGGTAGACTTTAGGGAGACACCCAACATCAATATTTGGCAAGGCCAAGGAAAATCTTCCATCCAGGTCACCCGATCTCTTCTCGTTCATGGCAGGGACTGTTCACTAAATTTCTGTGTGACTTGTTTCCCTTCAATGCTTAATTATAGTAGTTTGAATTGAGCCTCACTGGGGATACTTTTGCAGTCATTGCACTTCGTAGGTTATTTGTAGCATTTCGGCGTGCAAGGTACTGGCATTGACCAAAGTTTTAGCTACTCAAGTAAATACACTTTGTCAACGAAATTCTTTTTCAGCATTTTTTTTTTTGCAAAGATTTACATGAATATAGTCCCATTCCTAAAGTTACACATGGTGTACTTTGTATTTTGGAGAAAGGCAAGTAACAGCTGGTACTCTCACATGTATGTAAGCATACATGTAGAAATAGAATCAAGGAGATTTATGCCCCCCGCAAGGGTACAGTTCCATAAGAGCATGAAAGGATGGCAGTCGATTTGAGATTCTTGCAATGGAATGTTGTATACACTGTACTTTCAGGAGATCATTTGTCACATAATGTGTAAGCTTTATTACTGTTGGGTAAGCTTCAACTTAGAAATTTGACCAAAATACTTCTCGAGCTCAGCAATTTTGATGCGGATTGCGAGCTTTATAATGTGGTCAAACCTGGTGGCTGCACCCTTCAGTCGATGTGCTTGCTTCATTGAGCCCAGCTTTCTCATCCCTGCCTTCAGGTTGTTTGGTCAGGTTCTTTTCAGGTTGTATACAGCTTAATGGCTTTGTTAATGGAGGCCGTTCAGTAATGTGACACCATGTTGATGCCCTCAGAAGTGACTGGGAGGAAACTGATAGTGTACCCTGGTGTACCTGCGTTGCACATAATTATGAAAATGCTGTTTTGTGATGCATGTACACCACAGAGCTGCCTTTTTCTGTAATTTTCTGGGGGGTTTTTTGGGTTTTTTTTAACACTTTGGGCAGGAAAGGAAACACAATAGCACCGAGAATTCATCCTCTGCTCTCTTTTTTATTTCAAACTACAAAATACATTACATACATGTATGTACCTCTCTGATCACTCCCACCCACCCTTTTTGAGAGTGATCATTCGTTGTAGCAGGTCAACGGTACCAGTAGGTATTCTTAACCACTTGACCGAGGCGAGCTGCCATCACGCAGCCTACACGTTTTACATAGGTGTAATTCCAAAACTGTTCCTTTTGAAGAGTTAGAATATTCAGAAGTGTGAACATGTATTTTAACCATTGAAATATGAAAATTCCCTTGGTAGCCTACCCACATGTCAGACCACCACGTGTTGTTTAGAGGGTGTTTCGGTAGCAGGGTTTTGCTTTTCAAAATGAACCCTCAACTTCTAAACCAAACGATCGTAAAGATAAGTGTAATTTATGTAAAGCACAGACCGAAAATGCAGGTACTGGTGTTGCAGCATTACAGAGAGCACAAGGCATTTTCCTATTGATTACTTTTAAAATTCAATATTTAAAATAGGAAAATTTTTCACTGTGCTGCTGACTTTCTCAGTTTACACTGAACTATTCAATGTTGGCTCTGCATGAATATGAAATTGGCATTTTTATAATAGTCATGGAGCTAGAGAAAATGGACAGTACAGTGGTTTTAGTCCTATCCCAAATTAGAATTTTCATTTGCTCATTGCCTTTTGTTTTCCAGAAGCTTGTATATGGTATGTGTATCAAGATTGGCCCCAAAATGAGATAAAATGTGGCAATCTGATCATGTTTTTTCAGGTTGACCATTTGCTTGGAACTGCCTAATGCATACATACGCATGTGTGTGTACATACACATGGATACACAGGGATCAATTGATTTTTTAATTGTTTTCCATTTTCAGCGTTGCAAGCTGGGCGTTACACCATCCACCCAAAGCCCTCTTCTGCCGCATCACAGACTATTGCTTTGTCCAACTCAGAATGACGTGGTCCAGCTGCAGGGGCATGATTCAACTTTGCAGTAAATCATAAGATCTGGATGCAATCAGTGAACGCTGTGGAGGCGACTTTGTTGAGCAGGGAGCCGGATAATGACCACAACCATGACAATTAACAGGAGAGACCCTTTCATGGAATGCCTACTGTTCATCTTATTGTTGTGGGGGATAACACAACAGCAGTGTGAAGGTATGGATATATGAAACTTTTTTTTTTAAGAATATTTAATTTTAGTTGTAAGTGATTTGTAAAATTCACTTAGCAAAGAAGCATTCTTCATTATCTAAAGTCATTGATCCCTGCTTAAAAAATTCCAATTCGAAATAAGAAAATTTAGATCACTCCAACACAAATTTCTTGGACATAAATTCAAGTTCTATGTTATTTCCTGTGGTCTCTGTGTTTTTATCCTCGCGCACATAAAGCAGACTCCGTTCTGTTCTCTGACCTCAATTTACCACTTTCTATAATTACTGGTAGCCTGTCCTCCCTGTACATGTACATGTAGGTCGACAATATTAATACATGCATGGCTTTTGACCATAATGAACTTTCCATGAGGCTATATAGTCCCCATGCTTGGCGGTGCGGTGGACCATAAACCCAAACTATATGTAGCCAGACACCGCGGTTCAACTATGGTTTTACTGACAGAGGATGTAATTGCCTTCAAGAGTATGTACACTGATGTAGGCCTACCGTTGCTGATCCAGTCTACTTTGACCTGCATTTTATAGCCTTCTGTTTTCTGGCTGTTTGCTTTTTGGGGAGTTTTGTTTTGGCTGTTTTCTTCTTTTTTGTAACATTTGGACAAATTTTGAATCGTACAGGAACATGTATGTGTAAAAAATAGACCCACTATTTGCCTGATGCCTATTCATTCCTATAAGTCCAGGGGGACTTATGTGTTTGTTATTTTTGAGACAGTCATATTAAACCAAAAGGGAATCCTTGAATATTTGGAAAAAGGCTTCCAAAACCTCATGTCGCTACAGTTTGTAACCTCTACCATTGCACCCTATTCTCGCAAATGAAAATTTTTATTTTGGTGGGGGGGCATTGCACCCTACTCTTGCAAATGAAAATTTTTATTTTGGGGGGGCATAAACAGTGAATGTACAGCTTTGGAAAGCAAGTACATGTATCAATGTTCTGTTGATAATTACCTGTGCTCCCATACAGTGGTTCTGATGAAAAATGTAAGGGCCAGAGCTAGCATACATAATTGTCCACTCATCTCTGACGCAGTCATTTAGGTGCTGGATGACAAACACAGCTGCACTTTTTATTAATTTTGTGGTAACTGAGGTAGCTTACATGTGTTGGTGCTATGTATAGATTTCCTTGCGTAATTACCCCATAGTTGAGATGCTGTCGATTAGCCCGGTATTGATCATGATCAAGCAACTACATGTAGATGTACATGGTCCCCAAAGGAATATTCCGGCCAGATATCATCAGTGCACTCTGTAATATTCTAATAAGGTTTGGAATAGTCTGGTGTCGTTAACCAGTAAATGGACCATCTGTTTTAATTTATCACAGATGAGAGGAGATGCACACTATACTTAGGAGGACAACCTTAAGATGATGTGACCTCAAGATTATGTGGCAAAAGCGTGCCATGGTGGCATTTTGCTCTTGCTGATATTTCAAACCAAACAGGAAGAAACTAGCTTATATAATTTTGGACAGAAGTCCCCAGTTTTGTAACAAAGGGTTACATCATGTGTGCATGTACCATACTGGTAGGTGTTGCCATCAGAACAAACAGCACTGGCAGCAATCATGAACTCACAAGACAATTTTGTTGTCAGTTTGTTATGGCCTTGGCTCGGTCACTTCCTCCTTGATGCCTGCTCTGTCTAGTGAAGGACTGTTGCAATTTGATTGCCCTGTGGGGCCGTGTCAGTATTTATTAAAAAAGGGCTAATTCACAGGATTGCTACTGCAACTCGCAAGCTGCATGAGTGCTGTAGAGTAAGGCATACGTGTACGATACGTGAAGCATCATAAAATCGGCCAAATGATGATAAAAACCTAATACTAAATTGATGCATAAACTCAAAATGTGTAGACTGGCGTTTCAGACTGTCCCAAGCATTATTTGGTTCTCAGTGGCTGGGTTGGGGTTCAAATCGAGTCAGATTGACAATTCTCCAGCTCATTTTGATGTGGTTGATGGTATCACGCTACATGTACATGTATCTACAGCAAACACCAGGTTCATGGAGAAGTTGGAGATTTGTACAGTACCTGCTTTTTCACTGCTTTCACACTGTTTGCTGTCATGTTGATCTCCTTTGTACGCAAAATATCAAATTCCACCACCATTTGCAGTACATGTATATTACAGATGTGGTTTTTATTGCCATTCAAATGTCAAATTTTATCAGCTGTTTCCTGACTTTTTTTTCCCCTTCACCAGTAGTTGCCACCCTTGTACCGGTATATCACAGTCTTTCTCGGTGCACGAGTGTATATGTTCCTGGGTTTTTTTTAATTTTTAACCTTGATGGTATTTTTCATCCTTTGACTTCTCATCCCTCCCACCCATTTCCTGTCTTCCATCACAAACCATGTTCGTCAGTCTCTAAAGTAGGGTTGCGTAGGTGTACACTTTGGTTGAGATGAATGGACACAAAGGAGCGATCAACAGCAAGCAATTAAGGCCTTTTTTTCTCTCTCGCTTTCTTTGGGCCTGGATATTTTGTGCAGGTCTCCTAATTTTTAGTTTGTAATTAGTTTGTAAATGAACACGTTCGTGTATTTTTTGTGTCTGTCTTCATTCCCAAATGCGACATTTATGGAGGTCATGTGTGTGTTTGGGGTTGAATTTGAAATATCCTAATAAATAAAATTTTGGAATCAATTTCTGTTTGTTTGTTTTCTTTTGCTGCATTTATTTCACAGGTTATACGCTTTCCAGCACCTCAAAAATACAAAAATCTAATCAATTCTGCTGAAACAGACTTAGCTGAAAAACCACAATTTTTTGAAAAATGAAAAGAGTACACTGATGTACATGTATATCTTTGCATTTAATCAAGAGGTGGGTTGTTTTTTCTTCTTTTTTACGAATTTTTCAGCAGACACAACACAAGCTGTGATCTTAGTTGTTCTCAAGATCACACTGAGGGAAAAATGCACATTGTAGTTGGTATGTTACATAAGCTACCAGTAACTGGGTCATACAGGGGTAATTCCAGAAATTGGGGGGGGGACATTTTGTTCGTGTCCCTGTCACATCTGACATGATTTTGTAAGTTCAGAACACATTTTCTGATTTCCAAGAGTGATGAATTGATGCAAATTGCCTGCCAAACAAAAAGTAACAGTTTGAAATTAATTCCCATAAAATTTCCACGTCAAATAACAAAGGTCCGATATACGCATGACTGGGACACAAAAATATCACACTTTTGGACCCCTAATTTCCGGAATTACCGGTACCCATGGATGAAAAAATCATGATTTTGAGATTTTTCAATAGAAGAATGGTATGCTGTTTCTTTCAGTAACTTGCATTTAGTTAAGTACATGTACATGTATTATGGCAGATTAACTGGCAAAGTGTTTGTGGTATGCCCCCCTGTAGCACTAATGCTTATTGATTTGACTTCATCAAATATATGCAGAGAGAGTCTTGGGCGGATGGTGCAATATGTCATTGTACATGTCACTTGATCAATAATCTCATGTTGTGATTTGGTCACTTGAGAATGAGATTTGTCATCGGTAGAACGAGGAAGATATTCCACAAGAAAGAAGTCCATAGACAGTCGTCAGCACCAGAAATGAGATGTGGAATAAATAGCCATATAACCCAAACAGTGCCTACTGACATACTGTACATGTAGTTTGGATGCACAAAGTTATATTGCCTTTTGAAATTCCAACTGTCTCCTACCGGTATTTAACTAATTGCTCCATTTCAGAAGCATTTATTCTTATTTACTTCAAGAAAATTGACAAGTAAAGGGATACTGCATGCGTGGAGATGTGGCTTGATGGGGTTTGTATCATGGAATTTGGCATTTGAAGTCTACATGTATAATGTAATACCAGAAATATTCTGTATTATACCATGCAATACCTACCTAGATCCGTCATCTGATTGGTGGATCATTGATCACATGTCATTGAGTTATTCGTTCATTCAATGATACCAGTTGAATAGAACTTTTCCCGACTGTATCCCATCCCAGTTTCATATCGTATCTCATTCCCCGTACTTCTTCAGGGAGAAACACTGTGGTGTAGGGAGTGAAACCATTCTAACGTAGCACGTTGCTACCAGTGGGTCGCACGTGCTTTGGATATGAACTTGTTTGGCAAAATGACGGACGTGGATTTGCAAGCGGGACCCATTTTTTTTCTCCTAACAGACTGAGGATTTGTACAGGTATTGTATAAAACATTCACCTCACGGAATCCACATTTCATCTAGTCACCTCACAAAAAATTCTCACACTTTGCGCTCAGAAACATTCATTATTTGTATATTATGAAATGTAAATCTCAAAGATTCAACTAATTTTCTCCTTACGTTTCGTAACTTTACAAACTGTAAGAGTTTTAATAAGGAAAAGGATGCCAATAATAACTATGATCAATATTAATCACGGTACATCACTTTGGAACATGCACTTCGGTTCTTGTTCGTATACATGTACATACATGTACCGGTACCGTATGTTGGGCCTAGCTGTGGTAAATTAAAATGAGAAGTAAGGCATAACAATTTATATTTCATGCATATATTATTGATTTTTGAGTAAATATTCTTATTGGCATTTACATGTAAGACTAGTTATCTTGATAAGAATTGATTACATGTACAGTACATTGGAGACAGGAAGTGGGTCATGCATATTTCATGTATTCTATCCCAGTTTCTTGGGCATAAATGTAAGAATGATTTATACATGAATCTGTATGGTACTGATGCATGTATGCGGGTACGTTGTAATTGTTCAATGTTTAATGAAAACCGTGGAGGCTAAAAAAGTACTCGTAGACTTGAGAAATGGACATTGTTGACTCTAAACCATGCAGTTGCACCACAACCACAGACATTAAATATCTTTTATGTCAGACTATTCTGGGACACATGCATAAATTAGCGTATGGAATGATACGTTCTATTGGTTTCCATGGTGAGGCCAATATGGATATTGCATACTCTA